GCAGGAGGATTGCTTGAGTCCAGAAGTTCAATTTTACAGGGAGTTATAATCACGCCACTGCACTCCAGCCTGGGTGAAAGAGCGAGACTCCATCTCTAAAAATAAAAAGAAAGAAAGAAAAATCATTGGTAATGGTATCGAGAAAAGTCTCTGAAGAGTAACTAGTAATGGTAGCTCCAGATATATATTTTTAACCCGAGAATTACATAGGCGGCATCTAGGTGGAAGTAAGGGTAGGGGACTTGTCTTGACCCTGCATTTGCAGAGCACTAACACGTCAAATAATTGTCAATTGTCCAGAAAAAGTATTGAAGGGGCTTATGGAGATTATGTTTGTTTGTCCCTGTTGCCACCACTATGATGGAGTCAAAAGCCAGAAAGCAACAGTTGAAGGAATGATGTGAGGAAATGGAGAAGTTTGGTTTGTTGGGTAGGAGAGACCTAAAGGGCAGTTAAAATAAGAAACAAAAACAAGACGGGGATTTGTCTCCAAGAAGTGGACACATCCTGACATTTCTATGCTATACTCTAAGAAAAAAAGGGGAAAACAGAGAGGCTCAAGACACAGAGAGAAGTGGCTGAAGGGCCAAACATCCAGGAAGACAGTCTGGACTTGAAGAGGAGGAGGGCCCCCCACCTGGCAGTGCAAGGTGAGGAGGCCTGTGGCTGTGTATAATTTCCTCTAAGTATGAATTGAAGTGGATCAGCCCCAATGGCCTCTATTTTCCCCATAACATAAGAGGTGAGGTTGACTGCTGAGAGAAAAGATGGGAGTTGTGTGGAGGACTGGAGGATAATCCCTATCTTTTAGAATCACTAATGAGAGATGGATGGGAGAGGAAGCTGAACAAGGACAAATTAAAGAACAGCTCAGCAGGCTGGTGATGGAGCAGTGTCAGTCATGCTCCCAACAGGAAGCAGATGGCACATTCAAGTGCTGTAACTGAGGAGCATGTCCAAAAGCGAATATTCATCAAGGTGTGAACAGGAAACTTGTAAAGGACAGTGAAGCACCCTGGAATGAGCAAGAGTGGGGAGCCTTTCCCACCCCCAGACCTCAGGGGCAAGGGGAGGGAGCAGATCCCAGATCCAGAGGGAATGGGTATAATTTAGGAGAGGGCTGCCACATTGGAACTCATACGGCACAGATGCTGACATTATCTGAAGCCAGGCAGCATTCTCTCTCTCCAGGTTCTGGTGACTGTTCCAGCCTCTTGTCCCAGTCCCAGGGGATTCTGCTATTACTTGTGGTTTCACTATACTCTTTCTATACTTTTATAAATATCTCTTTACTAGATTATCCAGTTTTAGTACACCATCTATTTCCTGAAGGAAACCTGACATATATGGTTCTTTTAAAAGACTAATAAAATAGACAAACTCTGGAAAGAAGAACAAAGGAGGAGATGAATAATATTAGGAACAAAAAGGGGGACAAAGGGCCGGACGCGGTGACTCACGCCTGTAATTCTAGCACTCTGGGAGGCCAAGTCAGGTGGATCACTTGAAGCCAGGAGTTGGAGACCTGCCTGCCCAACATGGCAAAAGCCCATCTCTACTAAAAAAAAATTCAAAAATTGGCCAGGCATGGTGGTGTGCACCTGTAATCTCAGCTGCTTTGGAGGCTGAGGCAGGAGAATTGCTTGAACACGGGAGGTGGAGGTTGCAGTGAGCTGAGACTGTGCCACTACACTCCAGCCTGGATTGACAGGCAAGACTCTGTCTCAAATAAGTAAATAAAAGGAGGTGAGAGAGACAAAGTATAGTTATAGCATGGATTTTTAAATACTCTTACACTATGAACAACTTTATGCCAACAAATTTGAAAATTTACAAGAAATGGACACATGGACAAATTCCTAGAAGATATATAACTTAAAACTCAAGGAGAATTTGAAAGCCAGACTAGATCTACTGCTCTTAAATAACCTGAAACAATGGATTTAAAAATCTCCCCATAAAAAAGTGTTTTATGCAGCAAATTTAAATATTTCTAATGTCGTTTTTTCTTTAAGAAAAATTGTTTAATAGAGACAGAGTCTTGCTATGTTGCCCAGGCTTGTCTTGAACTCCTGGGCTCAAACGATCCTCCTGCCTCAGCTTCCCAAAGTGCTGGGATTACAGGTATGAGTCACTCTAATGTCTTTTTAAAATCTGATCCAACAATCCTGTGTACCTGTGTGTACTTCTTATTCTAGAAGAAGCTCTAAGAGGCTGTGGGAAGCATCTGCTTTATTCACTGTGTACCCCAAACCTAGCATAGGCTTAGCTTAAACTTAACATAATTAAATGATGGCAGGAAAGTTAGAACATCCAGAGGATCAGTAGACATATGAGACTTCAGATAAGGGCAGGGGACCTTCATAAAAAACAGTAGGTCCCAAGTGAAACTCCGAATAGCCAGGGCAGGGCTGTGATCTTAAAAGACTCAGCCCTAATCCACCTGCTTTGGTACTAGTCAATACCAGAAGTCCCTTTAGAATGAAAATCTTCATGCAACAAGTTTCTCCTTAAGATCTATCTCTACAACAACCTAATGAATTACCTCTAGAACACTGAAATTCACCATTTGGTCCTTTGGTTAATAGTGCCAAAGTACGTTATTAGGAAGTTCCTGAGAGAAACAGCTGAATAACATTACCAAAAAGGCCAGAACCTGGCCGGGTGTGGTGGCTCGTGCCTGTAATCCCAGCACTTTGGAAGGCCAAGGCAGGCGGATTACTTGAGGTCAGGAGTTTGAGATAAGCCTGGCCAACATGGCAAAACACTGTTTCTACTGAAAAAAATATATATATTCAAAAATTAGCTGGGTGTGGTAGTGGCTGCCTATAATCCCAGCTACTCGGGAGGCTGAGGCAGGAGAATCTCTTGAACCTGGGAGATGGAGGCTGCTCAGATCATGCCACTGCACTCTAGCCTGGATGACAGAGTGAGATGCTATCTCACAAAAAAAAAAAAAAAAAGGTCAGAACCCAATTCAGATATATGAAAAGTTTTTCAGTAACTTTCAAGCTACTTATATTTGTTCCCCCACCCATACCGTTTATGACTTGCAGTAAAACTTCTGAAACAAATATTTTCCTTTAAAGGCACCGAGAATCATGGTCTTATCACGATGACAAGAGGATCCTAACTTTCATTTTTGATGTAGGGAAATTAACTTAGTTTTTATTTTTATTCAGAAGTTCTACAAAGTCATGTGGGTTTCAGCTGGACACAGGATGTGGGCACGGAACCAAGGGTTAGATGAGGCTTGGGAGAGTGTTGGGTTTTGCCTACCAGGAGCGGCTATGTTTCTGTTTCTGTTGTTGTTGATTTGTTTTTACTCCTGAGCTTCTGGACCAGTTTGCCATTAGAGCAGCCAAGAAGATGTAAGATTGTGTATCTCATGCAAAAGTGTTTTTACCGTGAAGATCTGGCTTCCAAATTCACAGGGGTCTCTCATCAGTCCGAGCTGAGTAGCTGACTTAAGCTCACATGACCTGGTGAAGGGCAAGCATCATCAGGTGGACTTGAGGGCTTCAAGTACGCTGCCCTGAAGCACCAGGAACTTGGTTGCTAGGCATCCTCCCCAGGATCTACCCAGGGCTTTCCTATCCAAGTTTGTTGAAGCAAAACCGAGGGATTAAATGAAATGCAACCTCACAAAGTACCAATGAAGGGTGTGGAAAACAGGGATCCTCTTTTTAAATATCTGCCCCCAAATATCAATCCCAATAAACTATACTAAAAACCATGGATGGCTAAAATGCAATTTATGTCTTTTCTCTGTTCAAGGATTTTTTTAATCATTAAACTATGTTCTCATATTTCCATGAGGCCCCAAAGGTTGGAGGATGCTGGCCCTTTAATGGGTAAGCAGGGGAGGAGCTGGGACTTTTAAAGGCAGGAGCAGCAAACAGGTCCTGGCCCAGGCTGCTATGAATAACTTAAACAGAAAGGGCAGCAACAGTCAGATGGTGGGTGTCGGCAGCAAGGCATCACCACACTCGGATGGTGACTGGTGATGTCCGTTGGGAAGTACTTCCCTTCCTTCTCCTAGCCTGTCCCTCATTTCTGTCCCTTTGTGGGACAGCTCCCTAGAGCTGAGCTGGGAGGGTGGGGGTTTATGGCAGTCTGAGATCCCGGGGTCTCTCTCCTCAAGACCATGGCCAAGAATTCTCTAACCATCTTGCTGGGAGGATTCCATGGCTGTTTTAGGGTGCCACATCATCCTTACTGACGATGGTGCCTCTTGGCCTCTTTCTTGTCTCAGGTTTACCTTCCAGAGGCTGGCAATGCTCTTTCACTGGAGGACACAGCCAAGAAGGAGGTCCACCAGCCTACCAAGATGAAATGCCTTGAAGGTATCAACAAGTGGGCTGTGGTGTTATATAAATGCCCCAGCATGCAGAGCTTGCTGGTCTGTTTCACGTATGGGCTTGGGTGGCCAGAGTCACCGGAAGTCATTCCCAATTCTTCCACTTGCTAATTATATTACAGTGGGTGACTGAGAGGTCACTCTTCTGGGCTTTATTTTTCTCACCAACCTAACAAAATTATCCATAACAACCCAGGACAGCCTCATATGACTATTAAATGAACATATGCACGTAAAGTATATGGCACACAGTAGGGTTAAATTGCAGTAAGTCGGGGCAGCTGGAACTTGTTCAAAGAGGCAACAGAAAGGGCGTTGGGTGGGGCAGAGCAGATGGAAAAGGCTGTGCTAGAACTTAAGCAATTGAAGAGGTGATGTGGAAGTGAAGGTGTTTGGTATCTGCCAGGTTCCTTTTGTTTGCTTTTTAAATTGTTATTTAGAGACAGGGTCTCACTGTGTTGCCCAGGCTGATCTCAAACTCCTGGGCCCAAATGATCTTCCCACCTTGGCCTCCCAAGTACCTGGGACTACGGGCACAAGCCACCACACCTGGCTCAGGTTTCATTTGACTTACTAGGGGATGGTTCAGGGGAACTTGGGAGAGGGGAGGTTGAGTTAAATCCACAGGACAGGAGGCATTATGTTCAAAGGTGGTGCTGGAGATGGCTTAAGAACAGAAGTGCTATTGAGTAGTAGCCTCTCTAGACAAGACTCACACCTGAGCCCCCATTTTACCTTCTCCTCTGGCCCACACTTAAACCAAGGGCCAGGTAAGACCTGTGGCCCTTTGGCTCCTGAGGAGGAGCTGGTGTCTGCCTGCCACTTGGAAAAAGAAGAAGAGAATGAAGGGGAGGAAGAGGAAGAGGAGGAGGAGGAGGATCTGGACCCAGACCTGGAGGAGGAAGAGGAGGAAGAGAATGATCTTGGGGATCCAACTGGACTTGGTGCTGTCCATAACACCCAGGTACCATGGCAGGAGGGAATGGGAGAGGGTTGTCCTGAACTGTCTGTGGCTCACAGGCTGTCACTAAACATTCCTCTTCTCTTTTCCACCCTTTTTCAAGGCAAGTTCTGGATTAACACTTCGTTTTTAAGCCTTGAACCTGAACTAGGGACTCTCTCCTTCCCTCTTTCTCCTGTCTTCCACTTCGTTTCTGATGCTGTTCTTGCCTTAAAACCAGTCCTAGCAGAGCTGTGCATCGCCCACAGGCGGTGGCCCTGCTACTAGTGTTAAAGGTGAGTCATCTTTGCCTGATCCTGGGCCTCTGTCTCACTAGTCCGTTCCTGGTATTTGTTCCCTTGGATCCCATAACTAGTGGAGAAGGAGAAGGACTCCCATGTAGATATGAGGTGAATCAGAACTTCCTTCAACCTACTACTAAGATACAGTAGTCCGTGGTTTCACTTTCTGCCATTTCAGTTACCCTTGGTCAACTGTAGTCTGAAAATAGGTGAGTATAGTACAATAAGGTATTTTAAGAGACTACATTCACATAAGTTTTGTTACAGTATATCGTTATAACTGTTCTATTTGTATTGTTCATTTCTTATTGAATCTAATTCATAAATTAAACTGGCCAGGTGCAGTGGCTCATGTCTGTAATCCCAGCACTTTGAGAGGATTGCTTGAGGCCAGGAGTTCCAGACCAGCCTGGGCAACAAAGCAAGACCCTGTCGCTACCAAAAAAAAAAAATTTTTCAAAAATTAGCCAGATATGGTAGTACATGCCTGTAGTCCCAGCTACTTAGGAGTCTGAAGCAGGAGGCAGGCTTGAGCTCAGGAGTTTGAGCCTGCAGTGAGCTATGATAGTGCCACTGTACTCCAGTCTGGGTGTCAGAGCAAGACCCTGACTCTAAAAAAAAAAAATTTTTAAATATGAACTATCATAGGTGTGCATATATAAGAAAAAGCACTACACAGGGTTTAGTACTATCCAGTTTCAGGCATCCCTTGGGGGTCTTGGAACATATCTCTCTTGAATAAGGGAGGACCACTGCAGTAGTCTTATTCCTCCCAGGAGGGCCAGTTGACTTTGAACCTGAGGGAGGGCCAAGTTGCCACTGCCCTGGATGTTGGAATAGCTGGTCTTGCTGCCTCCATCCACCTCCTCAAAAACACAGGTGAATGTAGAAGACACTACAGAGGCCCATTCAAGCCTGGTTCCTCCCTCCTGTTCCAGAGAGCTCTGCTCAGCTCCCCTGGAGTCAAGGCCCCTGGTGTGCTGGGAATGTCACTTGCCTCCTTGCATTTTCTGTGGCAGGTGAGTCTACTGCAGCCTTCATACTGTGCATAGTGAGGATTCCATCCATTATGTTCAATCTGGCCCCAACCCTGGTCTGGAGTTAAGGCACCCAAAGTGAGGTATGGGTATGGGAGATGGGAGTTGCCCCAGCATAAAGGAGCTTGATAAATGACAGAGGTGGTGTGCCCAACCACGGGCATGGATAGACACCTTCATATGTGGTACTGGGACAACTGGCCATGTGTATGAACAAGGACAAACTACTCCTGCCTTAGGCAATCTTTCAGCAGATGGCCAGCCCTTAGCTGGAAAGAGCACCTGCCCTTCACTTAACTGTGTAATGGGAACATGGCCTGGGGTAGAGGAATTCAAGAATGACGATATCCTGCAGGGAGAACTAGAAAGAATTAGAGTTTTGAGGAGGGCTTCAAGTGAGTCAGAAAAAGACAGATGAGTACTGCCCCAGCGGCTGAAAACAGCCCAAGAGAAGGCTATCATAGAGAGGAGAGTGAGAGGTGTTGACTTTCCAAATAGTAGGAAAAGCACATGACCCCACAGTGTCAGGGAATAAAGAGCTGCTTCCTAGTCAAGCCCTGTTGAAATAAGGGTAGGGCTGGGTGTGGTGGCTCATGCCTGTAATCCCAGCACTTTGGGAGGCTGAGGCAGGTGGATCACAAGGTCAGGAGATCGAGACCATCCTGGCTAACATGGTGAAACACCATCTCTACTAAAAATACAAAAAAAAAAAAAAAAAAAAAAAGCCAGGCTTGGTGGTATATGCCTGTAATCCCAGCTACTCAGGAGGCTGAGGCAGGAGAATGGCGTGAACCCAGGGGGCGGAGCTTGCAGTGAGCAGAGATCATGCCACTGCAGTCCAGCCTGGGCGACAGAGTGAGACTCTGTCTCAAAAAAAAAAAAGGAAAAGGAAAAGAAACAAGGGCAGGAACCACAGTCTGGTGCCCTCAAAGCTGCCTTGAGGGACTCACAAGATGGCACAATGTTGGGTGAAGTTCTTGAGGGGAAAAGGCAGGAAAGGAACTGAGCCCTCACAACAACAGCAGCATTCTTTTGGTGGAGATGGCATTCTCCCAGACCTCTTAATTCCTCTCTCAGACCTTGGACTACCTGTCGCCCATCCCTTTCTGGCCTACATTTCCCAGCACCAGCTCTCCAGCACGGCACTTTGGACCTCGGCTGCCCTCACCAGACCCAACTCTTTTCTGCAGCCTGCTGACCTCGTGGCCCCCTAGGTTCAGGTACTGATTTGAGGTTCTCAGGAGGTGCTGGCTGAGGAGGGGTGGGGACCGTGCCTACCAGTTGCCACAGGAAAACAGAAATCTAGTAAGAGAAGTCTGAGGTATAGTGTAATTCCTTCTCCCTCACAAATGTAGCCCGAGGAAGATTAAAAACTTATTTAAAGCCGGGTGCTGTGGCTCATGCCTATAATCCTAGCACTCTGGAAGGCCGCGGTGGGAGGATCACTTGAGGCCAGGAGTTCAAGACCAGCCTGGACAACATAGTGAAACCCTGTCTCTATTAAAAATATAAAAATGAGCTGGGCATGGTGGTGGGAGCCTGTAATCCCAGCTACTTGGGAGGCTGAGGCAGGAGAATCGCTTGAACCCAGGAGCCAGAGGTTGCAGTGAGCTGAGACTGTGCCACTGCACTCCAGCCTGGATGACAGAGGGAGACTATCTAAAAAAAAATTAAAAATAAAAATTTATTTGCGATCAGCTAGCATGATGGAACTGCCACTAGGATTCAGAACTCCTGATGACCAGGCCAAAAGGTTTTCTACTGTGCCAAGATTTCCTGCAGCCAAACTGCAGGAAAATAGATGTTGAAGGAGCTTGGGAGCCCTATGGGTCTAGGACTATGATGTGCCATGTGGCCGACTTTGGGAAAGTACCTAAAGATAAGGTTCCTTAGATGTTCACCTTAGCTGACCTGTGCTGAATGAATGGAGGGGGCAGAGAACTGAGAGCCTCCTTCCACCCAGCTCAAGTTACTTCTTGTCTTCCCAGTCATCTGACCCAGCTCCACCCTCAGCACCAACGGATCTTGCAGCAGCAGCAGCATAGTCAAACACCAAGGTACAGCCCAGACCAGGAGCAGGGTTGAGGGGAACCCATCTGCATGCTGGGTCTCCCCTTGTGACCAGTCGTCTCCCTCAAAGCTCCCATTTGGTGGTTAAAACTCTCATACTGTTGCCCACCTCTGTGCTTGCTCCATCCTTCCCAGAGATCCCCCATTTCCTGCTCACCACACTCCTTAGGAAGTGGCAGTGGTGGGTAAGTCTAAAGGGTTGTTCTTCCTGGCTTAAAGTCCCCCAGCCAAGAAGCCTTGGTCTCAGCAGCCAGACCCCTATGCTAACCTCATGACCAGAAAAGAGAAGGACTGGGTGATAAAAGTGCAGATGGTGCAACTGCAGAGTATAAACCCCCGCCTGGATGATTACTACTACCAGGTGAGCCCCACAGTACTCAGCCCTGCCTCTGACCTTGGGTCAAACGGGCCTGGACTCCCGGGCCCTCTCTGATCCTCTCTTCTGCTCATAGAGTTCATGTCTGTTCAGGTGGGAGAGAGAATCACTACAGGATGGGGGCCATATTTCTCAAATTGACATCCCAAGCTCATTTCTCTCTCTCCTCCTACGTTTCAGCCAACTGATTATTTCCAGTTCCCCAAACACACTTAGGTTTTGTCTCCACTCTTTGCTAAGAATTTTCCCTGTTCACCCAGGAAATATGGACTTTCCCACCTTTGTATGCTTAGAAATGTCTTGTTATATTCATCTACTTTCACTTTTTAGATCTAAAGCACAGGGATGTTATAAATAGTGGGATTCAGTTTGTTTAACTGAACAAACAACAGCAGATATTTTCACTCATTTTCCCCTGCTTCCTTCTGCCTTGATTTATGGGGCAAGTCTTTGTCCACAAGTTTTTGGGTTGTCTAGGCTATTGTGGGTTTTTTGTTTTGTTTTTGAAACAGAGTCTCCCACTGTCATCCAGGCTGGAGTGCAGTGGCACAGTCTCAGCTCATTGCCACCTCCACCTCCAGGGTTCAGGTGATTCTCCTGCCTCAGCCTCCCAAGTAGCTGGGATTACAGGCATGGACCACCATACGCAGCTAATTTTTGTATTTTTAGTAGAGACGGGTTTCACCATGTTGGCTAGGCTGGTCTTGAACTTCTGACCTCAAGTGATCCGCCCACCTCAGCCTCCCAAAGTGCTGAGATTACAGGTGTGAACAACTGAGCAACTGCGCCCGGCTAGCTGTTTCACTTTCACTTCAACATCTGTGAGCCTCCCATCCAGGGCCCCATCCTTATTCCCTTCTCATTTACATTAGGTATTTTTCCTTTCTTTCCACCAAGCTTCAAAAGCCCTCCATTTTCTGCAAGGGCCACTGAAAGTGAAATAGTTTTGTACTCTCACATTTTTGGCATTGCTTCTAAACAAAAGAGCCTTTTTCAAATCCTTGTTTGGCTTGTCAGTGGATTTTAGTTTAGGATTTCTCAACTTTAAGAAAATGTCAGAGCTGCTGAGTGAATCCACAGAAGTATAAAACTGGCCTAGAGGGCAACCAACAAACACATCTCTATGGCTAGTTCTGTTCTTCAACCTCTGGATGGCCCTCATATCATCAGATAACTGATTTTTAGAAAGCACAGGTGAGGTCACAAGATTAAATGGGGAAGTGGGGAGGACAGGTGGTATGCAGTGTGTGTGTACTAGGGCATGAGGAATGCAGGAAGGTTACAGACGCTGGAACAGGTTTGCTCACTGGCTCTCCACTTTGCTCTCTGCCTATGTAAATTCCAAGATGGGTGATGTGGGGCCCAGGGTGCTTAAGACACTTTAGAATAACTGCAAGGAGGGCCTAAGGTATCAGCATCATTTCTGGAATGATTGTTGTAGGAAAGAGTGTTAAGAGGCTGTGCTTGTCTGGGCACAGTGGCTCGCCTGTAATCCCAGCACTTTGGGAGGCCAAGGCGGGCTGATTGCTTAAGTCCAGGAGTTCAAGACCAGCCTGGGCAACATGGTGAAATCCTATCTCTACAAAAATACAAAAATTAGCCAGGCATGGTAGCACGTGCCTGTGGCCCCAGCTACTGAGGAGGCTGAAGTGGGAGGATCACTTGAGCCAGGGAGGTTGCAGTGAGCCAGAGATTGTGCCACTGCACTCCAGCTGGGTGACAGGGAAACCCTGTGTCAAACAACAAACCTTATAACACACACACAAAAAAAACTTAAGAGGCTGCACTTGAGAAACTTAATTCTAAGGTCAAAAGATGAATATAGAGTTTTGGTTTTTTGTTTCCTATTCCATGCATTCTCAGGAATATTACCAGAAGCTAGAGAAGAAGCAGGTAGACGAAGAGCTACTTGGACGAAGAAACCAGGTTGAGTCCCTCAAGCTGGTAACGCCTTACATTCAGAAGGCAGAGGCTTATGAGTCCGGTAGGGTCAGGGCTGGCCTGCTGACTTGGGCTGGGCATCTGAGTGGACAAAGCGTGGGAAGAGGGAGGGAAATGTGCCTCTTTTCTCATGCAGTAGTCCGAATTGAGGGTTCCCTGGGCCAGGTAGCTGTGTCGACGTGCTTCAGCCCTCGCCGAGCTATTGATGCTGTACCCCATGGAACTCAAGAGCAGGTGGGAGCATTATCTTCCCAGACCTTTTTCTCTCCCCTTTGGAAGGTTTCTAGCCTTTCCAGCTCAATCTCTAGCTAGTCAGGGGCCTGGGCTGGGGCTGTGGCAGTGGCAGTATAGCTGATAGCTGGCGACTCTCTTCTCCTAGGATATAGAAGCTGCAAGCAGTCAGAGGCTTCGGGTGTTATACCGGATTGAGAAGGTGAGATATCAGTTCTTTAGGGACGAGTTCCGAACCTACCTTTGAGAATGAGATAGTACCCAAATTTACTTCTTTTTCCACCCTCAAATTCCCAGATGTTCCTTCAGTTACTAGAAATAGAGGAGGGCTGGAAGTATAGGCCTCCACAGCCCTGCTTTTCTGAGCAGCAAAGCGACCAGGTTGAGAAGCTCTTCCAGACCTTAAAGACCCAGGAGCAGAACAACCTGGAGTGAGTGTGGGAGGGTTCCACCTCAGCCCAGGTAGGGAAAGAGCAGCAAAGACACTGGTCTTGCTTCTGCCTCTGCTTTCTGGCATGTATCCCTCTCCTCGATGCAGAGTTCTGAAAATGTTCCCCTCTCTCCCTTGTAGGGAGGCAGCAGATGGCTTCCTGCAGGTGCTCTCTGTGAGGAAGGGGAAGGCCCTGGTGGCCCGGCTGCTCCCCTTCCTGGCCCAGGATCAGGCTGTTACCATTCTTTTGGCTATCACCCACCATCTGCCCCTCCTGGTCCGGAGGGATGTGGCTGATCAGGTACTGTGGCATTGAGTGGAGAAGAGAATGGTCTCCTGAATAGGTTAGGGGTCATATCTCCCCTCCAGTCCCCACATGCCCCAGAGATGCCAGAGAAGGTGCTGGGCACAGTGAGGGATGCTGGCCTTGCCACCCTCAGGCAAGGAAGTTACAGAACTATTACAGGAACAGTGGATCATCTTTAGGTACAACAAACAAAAAGCAACAGGTGTATGGTCGCACAGGTGTCAGTGTGCTGAGGAGGTCTGAGTAAAAGATTAGGACGCCCTGATAAATGTTGAGCCCCTATCTACTTTTCTTAGAGAAGGCATCCTAGGATGAGTAGGTACTGAAGGTGTCAGTGTTGGGGATGGAGAGTCATAGTGGTGATAAGCCCGGTAAGTAACCTCACCAAGATGTGCCAAAGACAGTCAGCGATGGAAGGGCCTGTGGAGGCAAGGTAAAGGGAGGGGAAGTTGTAGTGGGATTCGGGAGGTGCTTACTGATCTTCTTGCAGGCCCTACAAATGTTATTCAAACCTCTGGGCAAATGTATCAGTCACTTGACCCTCCATGAACTCCTCCAAGGACTTCAGGGATTAATGCTGTTGCCACCTGGCTCCTCAGAGCGGCCAGTCACCGTGGTGCTTCAGAATCAGGTAACATGTCTAGGAGGCTTTTTTCCATAGATGGCTTTCAGGTTGGTATCACTGATAAGGGATAAGTTGGGGGACAGTCTCATCTCTCCACAAATCTTATCCTCTGCAGTGCCTCTCAATTTCTAGTAAGCACAGGATCACCTGGCTAGCTTATTAAACCCAGCTCCGTGGTCCCACTCAGTCATTCAGTGGGTCTGGGGTGGGGCCCATGCGCCGGCTCTGTTTTTCTAATAAGCTCCCTGATTGCTGCTGATGTGAGCCTCCAGAGCAGGTCTCCAAACTCTTGTGTACCTCTTTCAGTAAAAAACATTCTAAACCACACTACCCACGTGTTTATAAACCAAATGTAACACTAGTAATAATAGGTACATAATAAATATTTTTCATTTATTTTTTAGATAGTCTCACTCTGTCACCCAGGCTGCAGTGCAGTGGCACGATCTTGGCTCGCTGCAACCTCTATCTCCCGGGTTCAAGTGATTCTCCTGCCTCAGCCTCCCAAGTAGCTGGGATTACAAGTGTGTGCCACCACACCCAGCTAAGTTTTGTATTTTTAGTAGAGACATGGTTTCACCATGTTGGCCAGGCTGGTCTTGAACGCCTAACTTTAAGTGATCTGTCCGCCTCGGCCTTCCAAAGTGCTGGAATTACGGGCATGAGCCACCGCACCCGGCCAATAGGTATATAATAAATATAAGATAGAAAATTTTAAAGAAAAGACTCTAGATGTGAAAATTTTGATACTGTCTTTTAATATCCCAATGGATTATCTCATGTATGCCACACTGAAGGTCTTTGCTTAAAGAAGTGCCTCTTAAAGTGGAGTCCACAGACTACCTGCCTCAGATTCCTGGAGGCATTCCTAACCTCCTACTCCTAGGAGTCAAGCCTAGAAATATGCATTTAATCAGCTCTCCAAGAGTGTCTTTTGGAAAAGTTCAGAGCAGTGATTCCTATGGAAAGGTTAGAGAGTTCTTTGGCTCACCAGTGTAAAACCTGACAGCCCTTGTGCATATCTTGGGCTCCATCTCTAAATGTTAACCTGTCCTTTAGTTGGGAAGATAAGAGTCAGGAAAGCACCAAATGCTGAGAGTGAACTCATTTTGCGCTGGAATATATGTATGTCCCTTGCAGTTTGGAATATCTTTGCTCTATGCCCTACTGAGTCATGGGGAGCAGCTGGTATCGCTGGATTCTTCCCTAGAGGAACCCAACAGTGACCATACAGCTTGGTAAGATCATAAAGGCCTTGTAAATACTATCTCACTACCCCTGGGATGTGCAGACTAAGCTAGATGAAGTATTTCCTGAGGCATTTCAAGTACTGAGGAGGAGGCTGGATAGAGAAAGAAGTAGCAGTGTTGTAGCTGTTCTGCTTTTTTAAAATAGTGCCCTAGAGTTTTGGTTTCTTCTAGGAGGCAGTATAACATAGTACCTAAGGGGACAAGCTTTAGAGTTTAAAAAGACCTAGGTTTGAATTCTGACTGTATCACTCACTAGCAATATAACTTTAGGGCAAGTTCTTTCACTTCTCACTTCTCTTAGTTTGTTTCTTTATCTACAAACTAGGGGTGATGGTATTAACCCCTCATAGTTCTTAAGATTAAATAGGAAGGGAAATATGTAAAGCACTAAGCATTGCTTGGCATGTAGCAAACATGCAAATGTTACCTCTGAATTGCTACCTGGGGGTGGGGGACAATGGTAGTAGCAATGGAAAGATAATAACCTTGGCCCTGAGTCTGTTTCTTAAGCAAATTTGTTTGCTTATATTTATATTTATGCTCTCTAGGACAGACATGGTGGTTCTGATTGCCTGGGAAATAGCCCAAATGCCTACAGCCTCTCTGGCAGAACCCCTAGCTTTCCCCAGCAACCTACTTCCCCTGTTCTGTCACCACGTGGACAAACAATTGGTTCAGCAGCTGGAGGCCAGGATGGAGTAAGTCATCAGAGAAACAAGGTCAAAGTCCCTTGTTCAAGCCCAATCTATGTTCTGTTACTTGCTTCACTACTTCCTTCTTTTAAATTATGAGCATGAAGGAACATGTGCTTTTAGAAGTGGTTCTACACACTGACATTTACTGTGTAATCAGTCTTGACGAAGTCTTCAGCCAACCTTTCATTCTAGGTGCTTTGGTCATTTATAGTGCTAAGCTATTTGAAGGCAAGAATTAGTTTAAGAACCTGGTCATTTATAGTGCTAAGCTATTTGAAGGCAAGAATTAGTTCATTCATTCAAGAAATACTTGAGGGACAACTATTCCAGGATATAGGCATGAATAACATGGTCATCTCTGTCCTCAGAATTGCTGCTAGAGTCAGATACTAGTCAAATAATATAAATGCTTGCAAAGTAGAATTGTGCTTGCAGTTAACACCTGTTCTCTTTATAGGTTTGCCTGGATCTACTGATCTGTTTGTTCTGGAATACATATATGTGGGAAGTTGAATCATCAGACACTAGCTGTATAGACTGTATTTACAGGGATCCAGAGAGTCTGAAGACATTTCTTAAGCCTTTATATATTGGAGAACCCTTCCCCAAACATTTTCATATCCTTTCTTCAAAAATCTAAATGATGTGCCTAAAAATAAGACACGGCATAATAAGGTATAATTAAAGAGATAATAGAATGATGTGTTGGAACTTGCTTGTAAGTTAAAACCCGTAATGAAGGTTATCTTTTGTGTGAGTGCTCCAGGAATGTCCTTTTGCTTTTCTTTAAGATAGGGTGTTACTCTGTCACCCATGTGGGAGTGCAGTGGCACCATCATGGCTCACTGCCTCCAGGCTCAGGTGATCCTCCCACCTCAGTCTTCTGAGTAGCTTGGATTACAAGCATGTGACACCACACCCAGTTAGTATTTTTAAAAAAATTTTTTTTGGCCAGGTGCAGTGGCTCATGACTGTAGTCCCAGCACTCTGGGAGGCGAAGGCGGGCGGATCACCTGAGGGTCGGGAGTTTGAGACCAGCCTGACCAATGTGAAGAAACTGCGTCTCTACTAAAAATACAAAATCAGCCAGGCATGGTGGCACATGCCTGTAATCCCAGCTACTTGGAGGCTGAGGCAGGAGAATCGCTTGAACCTGGGAGGCAGAGGTTGGAGGTTGCAGTGAGCCAAGACTGCGCCACTGTACTCCAGCAAAACTGTCTCTAAAAAAATTTTTAATTTTTTTTGTAGAGACAAGGGTCTCCCTATGTTGGCAAGGGTGGGCTCCAGTGATCCTCCCAACTTGGCCTCCCAAAGTGCTGGGATTTACAGGCATGAGAAGAATGTCCTGATTATAAGGGACAAGGCCTTGTAGCTAACACAAGTGTAACCTTTGAAATTGCTTTAACGTTGCCATTTTTTATAGAGAGAAAACTGCCCCAGCTAAGCTTAGAAGGTTGACTATATCTCCCTTGTGATATAAAATGTTTGGTTTCAGCCGGGCACGGTGGCTCACATCTGTAATCTTAGCACTTTGGGAGGCTGGGATGGGTAATTCACCTGAGGTCAGGAATTCAAAACCAGCCTGGCCAACATGGTGAAACCCCGTCTCTACTAAAATACAAAAATTTAGCTGGGTGTGGTGTGTGCCTGTAATCCCAGCTACTGGGGAGGCTGAGGAAGGAGAATTGCTTGAGCCCGGGAGGCAGAAGTTGCAGTGAGTTGAGATCCCGCCACTGCACTCCAGTCTGGGTGACACAGCAAGACTCCATCTCAAAAAAAAAAAAAAAAAAAAAGTTTGCTTTTATTTTGACAAATAAGGTCATGCATTGATCAACAAATGCTGGAGTACCTTTCATGAAACGGGCACTGTTTTAGGTACTAGCAAGGACAGTGGTGAGCAACAAAGTCCTTGCTCTTTTGAAGTTTACATTCTGATTGGACAGGAACTGGCAGAAAATATCAAGTAGTGATAAATACTATGATTAAAAACAAAAGGTGAGAGACTGCAGTAAAAGGGACTTTAGGTTGAATGGCTTAGGGAGTCCTGTCAATAGAGGTTACATTTATGCGGAAATGTTCTGAATGTGGCAAATGTGTTAAGAAGGTACAGCTACAGCTGTCTTTTAGGAGACTTTACCAAAATGCCTATTCAACTCCTCTTCTCACCTCAAACCCGTTGCTCCTTCCTCTTGATGTTGGATCATACTTCTCTGAGAAAACAGACAGGAGCTCTACCATCTCCACCCCTTACTTACCCCGTCTCTCTGTTAAAATGGATATTATTTGACTTCAACTTTCGGGTCAACACCCTCACTATGGATCCACACTGTAAGACTTGATCCATGCTACCAAGGAAATGGCACCACCCCAGAGCCTGTAAGCAAACAGCACAATAAGAAAAGCGAAGAAAAGAGGCAGGAACTGGGTTCCAGGGCAGCTGCAGGCAGCTGGACCAAGAAGGCAAAGGGTAATGCACAGAGCGAGAATGGCTGCAACGGCCTGCTACGCTAGGTTAGACCTTCAAGCATGCCAGGGTAGTTAAGCAGAATGGGACTGGGGCCAGAGCAGTTGTGGCTTTGCTATAGAGGCTGGTACTGCCCCCCACAGGAAAGGAATGGAACCGACCGGAGACAGCCGAGAGGTCTCCGCGGGAGTCACGAGGCCGAGCGTGAGCCGCTCCGTACACCGCGCATGCCCACGACGCAATCAGGTTCCGGCGAAAGTGCCCGGAAGTAACGGCCCGGCCAAGATGGCTGCAGAGGAGGGGGCCGCCAGTGCTGCTTCCGCCGGCGGTAGCTGGGGCGCCGCGGCTATGGGGCGGGTTCTACCGATGCTGTTGGTGCCGGTCCCCGCCGAGGCGATGGGGCAGCTGGGCTCCCGGGCGCAGCTGCACACACAGCAGGAGGCTCTGGGGAGCCTGACGGCTGCGGGCAGCCTCCAGGTGCTTTCTTTGGCGCCTGGCAGCCGGGGCCGGGGTCGCTGCTGCCTGGAGGGCCCCTTCTGGCAGTAAGTGCTGAGGGAGAGCTGGGCCGTTGGGGGAGTCCAGAGCCTAGGCTAGGCTGGCGGAGTCCCAAGGGCTCACGCCGTGGCCTCCCTGCAGCCATAGAGGTGGCGGGAGAAGGGTGACAGCCGCAGGAAACGGCCCAGAGACGAGCCTGGTTTCCTCTCAGAACCTTTCCCCCGACCTGAAGCGCTTGCCTGGTTGCATTCCGGCAGCCCGGCTCCCCTGTTCCGGGTGGGCGGAGACGGTGTCCAACTCCTCTGCCACCTGCGGCGAACCCGGAACGGTCTCAGCTGAGGCGCTGATTCTTTATCAACACAGGTTGATTAACTGTCATAGGGTCGAGTCCCATGCCCATTTCGTCTTTTAGTTAAAGATGCCAGCTGAGGATCATCTCTAATTTGAATCATCCTGATACTTTTTTCATGTCCTTGAAATTAATAGCGTTTTTCTTCACATGTAGTCCTCTTCTTCAAGGACAGTCTAGTTTGTCCCTTCACTTATTCAACAAATATTGTGTGCCTGCTGTTACATAGGAGCAGTGCCTAAAAAGTTGAGTAAGACACTTCTTTCTTGCGAGGCGCGCATGTTTGGGGAAGACAAACATGTGATTACAGTAATGCGTTACTTTGTACTTCTGTAACCTTGGTTCAGTACTTAAGAGTTTACATCATAAAGTTTGGGAATGCCCTGTTAGTGTTTTGAGTGGGCTGCCTTTTTTTTTTTTTTAAAGATAAGGTCGCTGTCGCCCAGGCTGAAGTGTAGTGGCTCAGTCACGGCTCACGGCAGCCAGCTTTGACTTCTTGGGCTCAGCCTCCCCTGTAGCTACGATTACAGGCGTGCACCACCAGGCCTGGCTAATTTTTCTATTTTTTGTAGAGATGAGGTCTCACTGTGCTACCTAGGCTAGTCTCAAACTCCTGGGCTCAAATGATCCCACATCTCCCTGCCAAAGTGTTGGGATTACAGGCGTGAGCCACTGAGCCCGACTTGTCCTTTAATAATTATTAATAGTAAGTATTTTCACAACTGTTTCTTTGAGATGAGTAGCTGAAAGCTGTCTTATTCATCTTGGAATCTCCATCTCCTCTAACAGCTCCTGATATTTAGAGATTGGTTTGATAAATCGGTGAATGCTTAACTCTTCTGGGTTTGTCTTCTCTATCCTTGATGTCTAGTTGCTAGTAGAGGAATCTCTGCATTTAGTTTATAAACTATTATAAACTAAGTTACTTATAAACTAGTTTAGGAGAAGTTAGTTTATTTAGCAGTATCAAGTACCTATGAATGTGGCTCTGTAAAGAGAGGAATGGGACAGAAAGAAAGCAGAAATCTTTAGGTGTTTGAGAACCCAACAGAGAAGGTAAGACATACCCAGATGAAATAAAGGGGACATTCTTATGCTAGTTCATGAAATTAGAGGGGAGGAGGACCAAGAAAGGACTTTTAAATTTTTTTATTTGAATTGAATTTTAATTCAGTTAAAATACTTCATAGGGTAAAAATAAGGGCATGTTTATAGTATTTAGAGTTTACTTCCTACTTTTTCAAAGTACATAGACCTTTTTTATATTGTTGAAATTACATCATATATCTTGTTTATTGCCTTGAAAATTTCCTGTCTTTCCATGTGGCAATATTGTCCCTATGCTAATGATGTACTCGACCTTTTAAGTATATCGTAGTTTAACTTTTGTTTATTTTGACATTTAGGTTTTCTACATTTATCAATATGAAGGCAGAAACGTGTCATTTTTTTATCTAATAAGGACATAATACTGTAATAGTATAAAACTACTGTATTATAAAATACATAGTTTTATTACTAATTGAATTAAATCATGTATGTACCACAGTAGTTTTATATACTACTCCAGAAGTATAAAACTTGCTACTTCTGTAGAAAAAGCAAGTTTCTTAAAAGATGAAATTTTATCAGCATGGTATAGCGTCACCTGTTTCCATTGTGTTATTTTCAGATTTGGGGCTTTTATTTGTAATATGTAATTTAATTTTAATATTTAATTTGAAGCTGAAACACCATCAGTCTTGCCAGTATTGTTATTTTGACATTACAGTTTAAGAATTCCATAACTGTACTGTTTAGTAATGGTAGTCATTAGCTACATGTGGCTGTTAAAGTAAAAAATTTGGTTCCTCAGTTGCCCCGCATTTCAAGTGTTTAGTAGCTGCATGTGGCTATTGACTACTGTATTGGGCAATGCTAATATAAAACTTTTCCATCACAGAAGGTTCTATTAGGCAAAGTTTTTCAAGATTTTGGAATTGTCAGTCTATAAATACAAATAATCACCTTCTTTTTAAAAGTCAAAACATTTAAGTTATCAAAAGCCTGTTTTACTGTAAATACTGCCTCATATAAATAATATACATATTTTATTGTTGATACCTACCCTTGATCATGACAGTTTGTTTAAACATATTAGTTGGGATTAAAGATGAAAGAATAAAAGGAGCCATCATTTCTTGCTCTGAGCCCCACATTTTTGTTTTTTACCACCCACTCCTGTATTTTTGTGTTGGTGTAAAAGGGAAGCAGGAAGAGGAGGGAGGTCCTAGAGCAGTTTATGTTCTCTTAAATTGAAGTGTAGAATGAATGCTACCTGGTCAATGAAACTGTTCTCTACTTATTCGGCCCTTCTACCCCCACCATTGTGAGTAAATATTATTGCGCATATAGAATACAATAAATCTAAACTTTTTTCTTAGCTTTATATGGGAGGATTCTCGTAACAGCAGCACACCAACTGAGAAGCCCAAACTGCTCGCTCTTGGTGAAAATTATGAACTGCTTATCTATGAATTTAATTTGAAAGATGGAAGATGTGATGCAACAATTTTGTATAGCTGTAGTGGGGAGGCATTGCAAAAGCTCATTGAAGATCAAGATATCAGTAAGTATCTACAGGTGGTCTTTCAGCGTATTTAAATTTGTGACATTATCATGTAGTTATATACTTCAGGAAAAGTTCTCATAGATGTGAAATCAGGTCTACACTGTCCGATATAGTAGTCACTAGGCAGATGGGGCTATTGAGTACTTGAAATGTGGTTAATATGAATTAAGATGTACTTTGTGTCATATGCGTATTAGATTTTGAAGACTTAATACTAAAAAGTAAAGTATCTCAATTTTTTGTATTTAATTACATTTCAAAATATGAAATACTTTGGATATAAGCTAATGTCTATTATTAAAATTAATTTCACCTGTTTCTTGTGGCTACCAGAAAATTTTATTTATTTTTATTTTATTTTATTTTTTTGAGACAGAGTCTCACTCTGTCACCCAGTCTGGAGTGCAGTGGTGTCATCTTAGCTCACTGCAACCTTCGCTTCCCCAGTTCAAGCGATTCTCGTGCCTCATCCTCCCAAGTAGGTTGAACTACAGGTGCCCGCCACCACGCCTGGCTAATTTTTATATTTTTAGTAGAGGCAGGGTTTCGCCATGTTGGCCAGGCTGGTCTCAAACTCCTGACCTCAAGTGATCCGCCCACCTGGGCCTCCCAAAGTGCTGGGATTACAGGTGTGAGCCACCCCTGCTAGAAAATTTTAAGGCATGTATGTGGCTTACATTATATTTCTATTTGACAGTGCTGATCTATACTGCTTATAGAGCTGTTGACTGCAGGGAGCAGAAATCAAAGCACTCAGGCCTCTTTTTAAAGCAGTAACATACTCTTCACCCTTGATTATAAGGTGTCTTCTTTTTTTCTTTTTTTTTAAAAGAAAGGCCGGGCGCAGTGGCTCATGCCTGTAATCCCAGCACTTCGGGAGGCCAAAGCGGGCGGATCATGAGGTCAGGAGATCAAGACCATCCTGGCTAACATAGTGAAACCCCATCTCTACTAAAAATATAAAAAATTAGCCGGGTGTGGTGGTGGGCGCCTGTAGTCCCAGCTACTCGGGAGGCTGAGGCAATAGAATGGTGTGAACCCGAGAGACGGAGCTTGTAGTGAGCCGAGATCGCGCCACTGCACTCCAGCCTGGGTGACAGAGTGAGACTCCGTCTGAAAAAAAACAAAAAACAAAAAAAAAAAGTGATTGTTCTTGTGGGGTCCCATGGGCAAGTTGACTTTTTTGAATATTCCTTCTAGTGTGCTATCAGAGTAGCATAAACAGAACCAGAGACATTGCAGGCCATCTTTATTCATCCTCTTACCCACTTCCCAGTGACTACTTCCTTAGGTGGGTGTGAACCATAACTGCGTAGAGTTAGACTAAGTCTAGTTCCTTTTTTGTTTTACTTTTTTGTTAGGTTTATAAAATCAAATGTACCAGTTGTAAAATTGTGACCAATGAGTTTAAAATAATATCCTTTTGTTTTGTAGGTATTTCCTTACTGTCTTTGAGAATCCTGTCATTTCACAATAACACATCATTGTTGTTCATCAACAAATGTATCATCCTACATATTATATTTCCTGAAAGAGATGCTGCAATTAGAGTACTCAACTGTTTCACACTACCCTTGCCTGCACAGGCAGTGGACATGATTATTGACGCGCAGCTCTGCAGAGGAATTCTTTTTGTTTTGAGTAGTTTAGGCTGGATCTGTATCCTTGGTGGTAGAAGTGTTGATTGACATGTAGAGGAGAAGAATACCTAGAAAGATGAGCCTTTTTAGGCTTTAGTTTTGGGGGCTGGGATATAGGGAGTATGGTTAATTTTTCAGTAAAACTTTTCATGGAAAAAGATCCTCATAAACTTAAAA